GCACGATATTTAATGCGCATCTCGTCAGTAAAACCAGTTCTGTAATCAGCGGAAAATCTCTACACATGCGTGCTTTCACGTGGAGCAGCATTAACTACACAGAGCTGTTGTTCACAGACAAGCTGCGCAAAACATGCGCAAAATATGATTGTGGTTTTGCGCAGCTTGTCTGTGAACAACGGCTCTGTGTAGTTAATGCTGCTCCACGTGAAAGCACGCATGTGTAGAGATTTTCCGCTGATTACAGAACTGGTTTTACTGACGAGATGCGCATTAAATATCGTGCGATATTTATTGTGCAGCCCTAACACCCACTCACACTCACACACACAAACACACACTCACACATACACACTACTGTAACGTTAATATTTGTGAAAATACATTAAGATAGTATTCAATTATTGCAACAAAAAATTGTACCATAATAATTATAATTATCATTATAATAATTTGTATTAAATTTTATATGAAGAAAAAATATATAACATTTTTTTTATAAAATAATTATTGTTATTTAAAAATGTCATCAAAATTATTACAATTATATAATTATAACTATAATAATAATTGTAATTATCATAATTTATACACAGAAGATCTTATAATAAATTTGTTTATGAAAATTCATCCTCTTTGACGCTCTGCCAACTAGCTGACTTTGGAAATTTTGCAGTTTTGCACATTAATGCAGACAAATATGAAATAAAGTGAAGCAGTTTTGAGGTATTTTGTGAGCACAGCATTCAGCTCAGCTCATCATTTGTTCTGTTTACTGTGAGCATTAGTGAGTGTGAGTTAGTGTGTTTATAGTGTGTACTACAGGACGGATGTGCTGTTCGAATTTCTCTCTGTACTTCTGCTGAAGCTTCAGAGTCACTCAATAATGTTACTGAGGCTGTTTTGTAAAAACTCATAAACAAACACGGAGTCCGTGTCAGTGAGATACACACAAATCAATAAAGTAATCAAGGAGCAACAATTACACAGCCAAACAACGAAACACTATCGCTCTGTTCCAGCGCAGAGCTCCCTATACAGGCAGCTGCATGCTACGACAGAAACGCTGATCGAACAGTAAAATTCCTGTTCATTTTCTCCATAATGGAAATCATTTTTATTGATAACTCATAAAGACCTACTCTGAGCTATGAGGCTGCTAATCAATGCTAATAAATGGTTTTGTTGAGACCATATGCACGCATTATTTCAACTTAGTTTGTAAATAATCAGATTTTGTTTTAAATAATAATAAATGAATATAATAAATAATAATAAAAAGATATTCATTATTTTAATGAAAGGAACATTCTGTATGAACAACTGGCATCATACTCAACTTGCATTAATTCATTAATTATAATAAATATATATCATTAATAAAAAATTATTAATGCAATAAATAAGTGCATGAATCAATATAATTAAAATATATAATGAATAAAAGTAATTAGTAAATTTACATTTGTTAGTAAACAAATGTAAATGAATAGTAGAGTAGCGCTTGTTGTTTGTCATTTCTCCGATCACAAATGCAGACATGGTTTTATGTTTACGCGGCGCGATGCAACGTGTAAAAAGACAGTATAAGGCTATGTTCACACTTGGCGTCTTTTTTGACAAGAAAAAGTTGACAAGGGCGCTTTTTTAGTGAAAAAAAAGCTGGCAGCCTTTCTGTTACAAATAGCAGCCGAAGGCGTCTTTTGTTGCTATAGCAACAGCTTGAACAGTAGCCTAGCGCTGTGTGGTGCAAGAATGTCGAGAAAGAGGAAATTGGCTCTTGCGTTGGCTTTTGAAGTTAACGGGGAAGAGAATGTCGGTTTACAACGACGTTTGTGGGTGCACGACATTATACGGGGAAGGAACCAGTATGGTACTTACAATAATTTAGTCTAGGAGCTCCGGTTGGATGATGCACGGTTTGCGGCATATTTTAGACTAAACATTAAAACATTATTATGTGCCAAGTGTGAACATGCCCTAAGTCATTATAATCAGTAATTATGTCCCCACTGGATGCAGCAAATGCCTGGTTTATAATGAGTTTTAATGTTTTTGTCTCGTCGCTCCGGCCGGGACACGGCATCATCACAGTATGGTGAGGGGCGTAACATTTCCGTCTCACGCTTGAGGTATTCGGCCAATCACAACGCACTGGATAGCTGGCCAATCAGAGCACACCTCGCTTTTCAGACCGATGAGCTTTGTAAAAATCGACGCGTTTCAGAAAGGTGGGGCATAGAGGAGAAACAATAATGTACAGTATGTGGAAAATAATGTGTGTTTTGAACCTTAAACCACATTTCATTACACCAAATACACAAAATAATGTTCTTTTTAGCAGCATCATATGACCCCTTTAAAACAAAATATGTATGTAAAAAATAAATGCAACTAATAAATCAATATAATTCAAATATATAATTAATATTTTATGTAAATGAGATGTAATAATAAATATATAAAATGAACATAAATTAATATATATAATTAATGCAAAAATATTTACAGAATAAATAAATGCAATTAATAAATCAATATATTTAAATTATTTAATTAATAAAAAAAAATAGCAAGACCTTTTTAAATACCCCTATGGGTAAAATTAATGGAGAAAAAAAACAAAAGCCTCTAATAAAGATTGCCATTAGCGTGTTTGCAAGCTAGCAACATGCTAATCAAATAACAAAACAAGCATAAAAAATGAGTAGCAAACACAAATATTTAATAAAAAGCCTAGTTTTAATTAGATTACATTATCCAATTTTTAATTGGACTGAATTATTTTATCACTACTCTTTAGTACTGCGTTTAAGCCTGAATCCTGTGAAAACCTGTCCAGATCACATTTCACTCCAAAATCAAAAGAAATGATAATTTTATGTAATATTTGCATTGTGACATTTTTTTTTCTCCCGTATTTCTGTCTCGCAGCTCCAGCTCAGGTTTCTCGGATAGCGTCACGCATTCTCCGGCTCGCACGCCTGTCTTCCTCAACTCCAATGCCCCGCCCCCGGCACCTCCCCCTTTACCCCCGCCCCCTCCCCCTCTGCCAGCCAGCCTATCAGGTTCAAGAATGCGTGGTTCAGCTCCGCCTCCGATCCCTCCCTTACCTTTCCAGCAGCCCCTGGCCATCCCCCCTTCCCCCGCCCCCCTCCAGA